TCAAAATATTACACATTTTTGTACTTTTTTCCGAAAATTTAGATGTCTAGGGCAAAAACGCAATACTTATTAATTAACAAGTGCAGGAGTATCTTTTTCTATCAAATTTAAATAACATTTACTATTGTAAATTTTGGAGATGACGTCATCAATTTCGATTTTACCATATACACGATATTCCTAACATACATATGAAATTTGACGACATTCGGTCCAGAAATTTCGGAAATTATGTGATAAAAATTGATTTTTCCTACTCAAAGGCTCAAAGGGAAAAAAGTAGCCATGATGGCTACTATGGATGGATATTATAATACTTTTTAATTTACGCTCAGGAAGTAAAAAATTGGTCCAAGGTTATTTCGAATTTCGTTTTCTGATAACCCTTATAAAGTAAAAATCTGTGGCGTAAATAACACTCCCGCAGTTTCTTTGATTTGAATTTTTGAGTTCTTCGGTTTTTCTTTTTTTTTTTTTGTTTCTTCGTTTTTGCGATTTGCAATTTTTCGAGTTCAAGTTTAAATTTTTCAATTTTTAAATTTTACAAATTTTCGGTTTTTCAATGTTCTGATTTTTTAATTTATCTTTTTACTTCCCGAGCGTAAGCAAAGAAAGTATTGTAATCGAGTCCGTCGGCCGACTCTCTACTTTTACGTTTTCTCGATCTAGAAGACGAAGAAATAGGTCTCCCATTTCCGTCTGTCTGTCCGTCTGTCCGTCTGTCCGTCTGTCTGCCGTCCCGGATTTTTATTAGACAGATAATCTCCGAAAGTACTGGACCGAAATTTTGTACTTATATTAGGAATATCATGTAGATGGTAAAACGCTAACCAAAATTTGTCTAATCATCCCCACCACTAATGCGATGACGTCACTTCAAAATTGTACATAGTAAATAGGTCTTAAATTGTATAAAATAACATAGTCCTACACATGTGTTTACGACTCCGAATTGAGTTTTTACCCGAAACGTCCAGATTTTTGGAAAAAAAATCAAAATTATAAAACAACATTTTGAATTTTTGAATCTGCTAACCCGAATGTTTTGAAATGTTGCAGATGTTTTAAGGCTCTAAAGAGCATCATAAATCTTTAGTCAAAATATATTTGGTTATCCCCTCCAAAAACTTGATGACGTCAGCTCAAAAGTTTGCTGAATAAATCCTATCTAAAATGTACAAAATATGATGCGTCTGTACTTGTGATATATCACTCCATTCACATTTTTTGGATTTGCATATACAGGGTGACTCAAAAAAATTAATGAATGCGCAAAATTTATTTTACTAATTTACTCAGGAACTACAAAACCGAATGCTTTGAAATTTTGAAGATGTTTTAAAATTATCATAAGCATGGTAAATTTTTGATCAAAATGTATTTGGTCGTCCCTCCTAAAAAATTTATGACGTCACCACAAAATTTTACTGAATAAATCCTTTCTAAAATGTACAAAATATGGTGAGTCTCTTCTTGTGATTTATCATTCCATTCAAACTTTTTCGATTTGCATATGATGACTGAAAAAAAAAATGAATGCGTCAATTTATTTTATTGATTTAATCAGGAATTACAGAATCGAATGCTTTGAAATCTTGGAGATGTTTTAAAGTTACCATAAGCATGGTAAATTTGTTATCAAAATGTATTTGCTCTTCCCCCCTAAAAAATTGATGACGTCACTCCAAAATTTTGCTGAATAAATCCTATCTAAAATGTACAAAATATGATGAGTCTGTACTTGTGATTTATCATTCCATTCATATTTTTGAATTTGCATATACAGGGTGACTCAAAAAAATTAATGAAGGCGTGAATTTATTTTATCGATTTAATCAGGAATTACAAAACCGAATGCTTTGAAATCTTGGAGATATTTTAAAGTTATTATAAGCATGGTAAACTTTTGTTCAAAATGTATTTGTTCATCCCTCCTAAAAAAATTGATGACGTCACCCTTAAATTTTGCTGAATAAATCCTATCTAAAATGCAAAAAAGATGATGAGTTTGTACTTGTGATTTATCATTCCATTCATATTTTTTAGATTTTCTTAAGAGGTGGCTCAAAAAAATTACTGAAGTCAATTTATTTTATTGATTGAATTAAAGGCAACACTTATTATTAGTATTACATTGAACCAACCCAATTTGGTAGACACAAAATTTTTTAAAGTAAAAACTCGGTTGAAACATAAGGGTAACACGTTTATTTACATCTACTTTAACATTACAGACGTGCATTTGTTTTGTGCGCTGACTAGGTTCTGCGAATGTGGTATAGACATGTTTATAATCAACCAATTGTGAATTCCACCGTCAAAAATTAAAATAAAACCCAATGTTTTAAATAATAAGCGGAAGTCGAAGCAATAAAACCGATGGTCGTTTTGTTTACAATTTCTCTGTTTGACTCTCACGTATGCTGTTACGCTTGTCATCTTAAATTAAGAATGCTTATACATACACGATTTTCAGTTCCCTCTCATATTACACGCCGGCGCCGTATACGTGAGTAAATTGTTTCGTTATTTTATTGATTATAACAAATCAATATTCAAAACGACACAATTCATTTTCCCGAAAATTTGGGAATACAATAATTTTATTCTTAGTATTACACTACATCTATCCCAACTGATATACGTGTCCTTGCAAAAATGTTGATGACGTCATCGCAATTTTTTTTAAATTCACACTACAAAAATGTAATGAGAAAAAAAACACAATAGGCATGCAGTCGTCAAGTTTCCGACAGCGAGGGAAGTACTGTCTAAACTCTTTAGACCAATTTTTTCAATGTGAAATTTTTCAATCTTTGGATTTTCCTATTTTACGATTTTTGAACTTTTAGATTTTTTAATCTTTAGTTCCTTCAGTTTTTGATTTGCAATGTTTATAGTTTCCATTTTAAATATGTATCTAATAATATATAATTATAATTTAAAACATTCAACTTTACAATTTTAATGAGTGTATAGTTCTTCAATTTTACAATTTTTGGGTTTTTCAATTTTTCGATTGGAATAGTTTTTTCTTCTTCCCAATTTTTCGATTCATTAATTATATTAATTTTTAAATTTCTGGATTTTCAATGTTTCTATTTCTCGTTTCTTTAGTTATTCGATTTGGAATTTTTCTATTTTCCACTCTTTCGTCAGTTTTTCGATATTTAATTTTTCGCCTTTTCAATTTTTCGATTTTTCAACTTTTCGAATCAAAAAAATGGAAAAATTGCAAAAATCAAAAATGAAAAAACGAAAGAAATAATGAAAATTAAAGATATCGGAAAATCGGATAATTGAGAAATCCAAAAATTGCAAAGTTGAAAAATTTAAAAATCGGAAAATCCAAGAATTGGAAACTCAAAGACTGAAAATTTGAAGAATTGAATAAACGAAAAATTATAAAATCGAAAAAAACATTGAAAATTAAAGGAAATTAAAAAGCGAAAAATTGAAAAATGAAAAAATTGAAACACTAAAGAAAATGAAAAAACACAAGTTAAAATTAAGATATCTATGTAATGCTAAAGTAAATGTAAAGAACCGTGCTAAGCAATTGTTTCAAGGGAGTTTTTCATTACAAAATTTTGTGATGACGTCACCAACATTTTTGCAAGGACAGACACATATCAATTTGGATACATGCATAAGGAGAAAATATATATAGTGGAAAATTTCATTTTTGAAAAAGCGGTCTAAAAATTCTCAAAAAATTCAGGGATATAGATTCCGACGTGCTGATTCCAATTAATTCGGATTATCGAGGTTATACTGTAATTCTAAAATATGAGTGCTTTGATAAACCACAAGTATAGAGTAATAATATTTTGCATATTTTAGAGAGGATTTATTCGGCAAGATTTTGAGATGACGGCATCATTTTTTTGGGAGATGATGAAAGAATAAATTTTGATCAGTGATTTACCAATCTTACGATAATCATAAAACATTTGCAAGATTTCAGAATAATTTTGATTTTTTTTCTAAAAATATGGATATATAGGGTGAAAATTCAACAAGGAATCATAACCTGCAATTGCAGGACTACCTTTTTTTTAATAAAAACAAATTTACTATTTGTGTTTAATCCGGACAGACAACAGATAAACAGACAGACAGACAGACGGAAACGGGAGATTTATTTCTTCGTACTGTAGGTGTCACGAAACGTCGAGCAAACGTAAAAGTAGAGAGTCGACCGGTGGACTCGATTACAATACTTCCTTAGCATACGATCGAAAAGTAAAAATCGCACAACCCTGTTTCTCACAAAATAAAATAAAAAATTCTGGCAAACGGTTATATGTTTTCTCGACTTTTCATAACCCCTAGAGCATGAAAAAGTAGGTCTCATGTTTCCATCTGTCTGTCAACAAAAAAATATATTTTCATCTGTAGAGATAAAATTTAGGTGAGATCCGGTCTACATTAGAGTTGTGGATAAAATGAGTTAAAGCAGTTAATAACGTGCTTTTAAGCTGGTTCGTGTCTCGTAGGTCTTCACAGATTGGTGCATTAAAAATCGAGAATTTTCGAGTTTCTAATAGTTATGTTGAATAATAATTTATGTCAAACATGACATTAATGAAAATAATGATAATAATTATGAGTTTGTTTTTTGAAATGATGTGATGTTTGAATGGATTTGTCAGTTTGAAGAACGGTTGTCGGGTTGCGGCTGACTGCCTTTCGGCGAGCGAGGTGCGAGGTAATGGAAAGGCGAAGAGTCTAAGTGGTGCGTTTTGGTCCTAAATAGGGTAATTATGGAGTGATTAGTTGTCCGCGGTGGCGCGGGTCGAGTAAAGTTGAGGAACGAGGTAAAAGTTGTCGGGCTGTCCGTCTGGAGGATTGTTATTTAAGTAAAGATCGTGTAAACATTAACCGGTTAATTAAACTCTAATTTGAATGTGTGGGTTGCGGCCAGGATGACCAATCTGGGTCCAGCTATGATAGAAAATCTCTTGAGATGCGATGTTAGTGCTAAGCTAGCTGAAGGAAGGAGCGGTACCGTGCGTGGTAGAGTGCTGAGCCAGTCATGCCGTGTCTTTAGTCGTGCGTGTTTCTTGCCTGCATAACACCGTCAACAAAAAGGGTGCAGGCCACGTGCCAGTTCAGCATGCTCCGAATATGTCTGGTACTCTCCACCCTTTGGCTAATACACGTCTATGCTAACAATCGTCACGGGTCTCTGGCGCGCCGCCAAATTTCGGCGCACCCCGTCTTCCTGCCCCGGTGCAAATACGACGAGCACATAATTAAGAACGAGGCTAAACTCCAAAAGCAGATCGATCTCGCCAATTTTGTCTTCACGGGGAAAGTGACGAGCGACGTACAGTATCCTAACAATCGCACGATCGCCTTCACGGTCTTCGTTAAGCGATATTTCAAAAATAACGCAGGATTAAAGGACAATCAGGAAGTGAGAGTGCTGAAAACTTTGTACGATGGCGAGGGAGTTAAGTGCAGACAAGTATTAAGATATAGGTACATGGCCATCTTTATAGGCCGAAAACCGGAAAAGCTCCAGGAAGCGGATGTTCATCTCACTATTAGCCCCGTTCCAGTTACACTAACTAATCTTGACAGGGTTAGCGCCGCTACTAAAGGTAAGTGACGCGACTTTTAAACCGCTTTGCATTAAATTGCGTTAGAACTAGAAGATTACGGCCCACGTATTTCACCCGGCTACATTCCACTCAGGAAAAACATACCGGGGTTTTGATAAACTACGCCACTGGTTTCGTCCTAGCTACAGGACGCGACAAAAGCATAGACTTGTTACTTTATTTCTAGTCTGCTTTGCAAAAAAAAAAATACTTTTGTTACAGTTTAGTTATATTTCTTACTACTACTAAGTGTAAGTTGTTTAACAGGTGTAACCCAATTACACACCAACAGCTAGCGGTTAATCAAATTAATCTTACTTTAATTTTTAGCGTTTCTTTCTTGTAATTTCTTTGTTTTTTTTATCATTTAAATTACGTAAAGTTCTAGCTCTGTTACAGTTGTCGAAAACCGACGAAACTCTTGCAGTACCTACGTCTAGGAGCTGGTACCACGCTTTTGGTGCACTCTGTACGATCGCATTTTTTCCAAAAAGCGTGAACCTTCTCATTAGTCCGCATCTAAGTGAGCAAGATTTATGTGAAAGATATTACGGATTATTATGCTTAACGCCGACAATTATTGTTTCTTGATTCAAGCTTGCTGCTAAGCTGTTGAATTACTTGTCAAGCCGGGTAAGAACAGACGTATATTAAGTCGTACCTAGGTTAGTCTGATTCGTTTTTTATTCGATCGCACGCTACGCGCTGGCCAGGATTTATGGCAATTATTACGAAAAATATAAATTCTCGACAGATTTTAGCAATAAATAATGCCGTCGTTCGCCCCCCGATGGGTCGCCGTCAAAATGGATTAAATTGATTTCATCATTCTCGTACTATGTGAAAATTTTTCACTTCAATTCCAGATGCGAGCGGACAGTCGGTCGCGTTTTTTGTCGTCGGAGTGTGTTTGGACGTAACTTAAGCCATGCATAATTTACATGTGGTTTATACATTTGATGGAATTACCAGTCGCTCTGGTGCTTGTGCGATATAATTATTATGCTCAGAGCTAATTCATCAAAAGACGCAATTAATTCTTGTCCTGGCGTCGAGGAGAACGATTCAAGTTAGGAAGTACAGCATACTCTATATAGAGCGTCGATATTATCTATTTGGGTCTCGTTTAATAAAGTAACGTTACTTGAAATTTCTGAAATATTTTAGTAGGCGTCGCGGCTACTTACGTCGTTTTTGGGTCGAGTAATTGCAGGAAAAATAATAAAATTACTCCTCACATGTATGTAGTTGTAAAATTTGCATTTTTACATCCCGAGGCCCGACTTTGGCGGCAGCCGTTGTTGCAGCCAGTGTCTGACCTTTCGTATCGCCAGAAGACAAAAATGTTGTTTTACACATTTTGTGACACTCCAATTTACCCGCGATATTCATTTTTAATACGGTACCCACACCTAATAAATTACGCCACGTCAATGGCAAACGAACGTAATTTTCGGATCACGAGCGAACGCTTTCAGGTGGTCCACGAAAAAGCGCCACTGTTGTTCTTTTTACCAGAAACGAAAAAAAAAAGTAAACAAGCTAGAATTGCATCACTACGCCAAAACGTTATTCAAATTTCGACGAGCAGCGTGGGACGCTCGTTAGAACGTGATTTTTAATTGCTATTTTAATGTCACCTCGAGATGACGTTTGACAAATCTGACCGCTCCGGCGGCGCTAATAAAGTTGTTTTGTCGTAAAATTAAAACGCGATTCGCGCATCTACTCATTAAGCGCATATTTCAATTTTGCAACTTTCAAATACCGGAAGCGCTGTCAGTAGCCGTGTAATTTATAACTTTGGCGCAGCGTGACCCTCAGTCATCTGGCACGCTACTTCTATTTAACCTATGATAGTCTTGTATTTTTGAGACAGGGGCGTCGGTTTAACGATTGTCCGCTATTATCCGACAGTAGTAAAAATGCTGCTGCGTAACGAGCTATTATGTTATGTACTATAATTTTTGAAATATGTACGCATTTTATGTAGAAAGTGCGCGGAGTATCGTGTGGGAAAACTTACAATAGAGGAGAAAAAGCACCGTATGAAGTACAAGTGTGTAACATGATCGGCTCCTGGCCCAACTCAGTATCTTACGTTTATGTGACAAGCATATTATCGCACCGGGGAGTATTAGAATATCGCCATAAATTTGAGCCCGCTGTGATTATAGAAATTTTCCGAATTTCACGCGATAAATACGGTAGCCGGGTAGAGCTTTCGGCGCTTCCATACATTTTTACCACGACCTGATTACACCTACTCGGTTTATTGTAAACATAAATTAGTATAACGATTACATTGTCCGTTAGGTGTAGCCCATAGCCTGTTGTATTGTCAATTATTATGTAATGGAGCAACCCGAGTTATTTATAGGCGTCGATAATGGAAATCCAATTATTTTATGTAAAATTGAGATTTTGCGTTAAAATATTTTATTGCATCCTTGAAGCTCGATAATTGCAATATCTCAAAGTTGTCGCGCATCGAGATACCGAATAAGGTTTTTAAAAGCGGTTAAGTTTTAACGTATGAAGTTGTTAACAAATAATGCTTCGAGTACGTCGTCGGCAGGTGTAAGTGAGGTTATTTAAATATTAATCGAGCGATTTAATTTAGCATTATTCGGATAATCGGCGCGTATAGAGTTACCTTGAATATAAAACGTGTGGCGCCATCTAGAACGGGTATGTAGGGCCTTATTTATTACCGTCATTTAATTGATAATTAATCGTTTGTCGGTAATTACGAGCCTTATTTACCTTTACCTTCAGGATACTCGGACAAAAAATTAATAACCTATAAAATATTACCCAGAAATCACAACGAAATCTTTATTATTTCAAGTACAATTCGCGATCGACGCCATAAATAATAATAAACGGAAAATTTTACGTCCTCCGATAGTTTCGTTTACGACGTGTTTCAAAAAAATACTGTAAATAACGCCGCACACTTTAATTCGCTCCAGGTATCTTTATAAAGTAGTCCGCTGTACTGATATTTATATTGAGGCCTGTATAGCCGGACTACACCCAAAATAATATATAACCCTTTCGCAAAACGCACTTCCATTTTTATTTGCATGCTATGATTGTTATTGCCGAAACAATTAATTACAACCTTCCAACTTTTTCATTATGGCATTCGTTATCCCTTAAGCACGGCCGCTCAAGAATCGATTTATTGCTCGTGGCTTCACTAAATTCCACAGCAATAATCACTAAATTTCATTCGTCATACTAATCGACTAATAAAACTGATTCATTGCGAAGCTACGAATTTATATCGCGACCAAAAATTTCAAAATCTTTATAACAATCTGGGTCACGATCCGGCTCGAAGGAGCACGATGTTTACGATTTTAAAACGGACTTAGTAGACGATTTGCTTATTACTGAAATATTTAGTTCTTAATCTCTGCTTACAGCTGCGAGCTTTTAGCCCCGGAATCGAATTCCAATCGTACATTGAGTGCCAGTAAGTGCAGGTAAACCTCTTAAACTACAAATCGAGAATCCGAAGTAATTGCAAAGTTGACAAACTTTTATTACTGATGGAAATACTTTTTAAGACGAGTTGGACGAGAAAGTTGCTTAGACAACTTTAAAACGTCTAATTCAGGAGTGTTAATTCGCAGGATTCGATATTTGGTAGCCCGGAATCTGGCTCTCCATAAATTAACTATAATAATGCAAATTCGGTGCACTTCGGTCCATCCGTAACCCTGGTAAAACAGCATTTCAATATCTGTAACACGTAAGCGTCCCTCGGGAATTCGGAATAATTCTGTGAAACAATTTGGTTCAGGAGCGACGATTTGGCAAGAACGAACGCCTGAACAAAAATTAAAATGTGGACGAAGTAATTTCGATGGTTCAATTTTAAAACCGCGGGGCTTCGTGCTCGATATTTTATTAATAAAAAACGAAAGGGAGTAAAAGCAAAAAGCGCAAGATTTAAAACACGGAGCTTCAAGATATTTTAATACATATTAATGGAGCTCGAAATGAATGTCAAAATTTCGAAAATGAAAAGAATTTTAGAACTGATATCCAAGTGTTGAAATTTTTAGAAAAGTCCCAACCTTTTCCGACCAAATCTGGAAACTTTAAAGTCGAAGCCTGCGGCTTTTCAATTTTTACTTACATGGCTTTCCAGAAGTTTAGTAATGCCGTTTTTCTTATCATTTTCTGCGAGTAAGTGATTTATTTTAAAACTGTAGGCAGAGATGTTCTTTTGGGGTGATCGGTGCGCAGAACTAATCTTAACATTTTCTGGAATAATTATTCTCGAAGGTCGGAGTCTGGTTCAATATTTATTTATGTTATAATTTGACTTTCATACGGGCCCGTGAAGGATTAAATGGTCCGGAAGCAAATTGCCGGACTGTTTCAAGTTTCATTTAGTTCATAAAAGGTGAGGAACATCGTCGGCTATGGTTTACTCATCTGAATACCTCGACGTCTGTTTGAATACATATGTTATAAAACGAACCGTTTATATCCAGTCGACTGAGTTTCGACGTAAATATGTCACTTGTTTTAAAGGTCCGTAATTTAAGGAAAGCACATTTTTCGGACGTTTACGATCAGTTTTAGGCTAAATTAGATATTACTATAAATAGTTACGGTACCAATTTGTGGGAAACGTGTAGGTGCGTGGCTTTTATATCTGTTACCTTAACTAATTTGTAGCTATGCTTAATCATAAAAACTTAACGACACAATTTATTCGGAAACACACGGCGAAAATATTAACACAACAAAACTCGATTTTAGTAAACAATCACGATAAAGCTCCTGCTTTATTGCTTTCCCAACAATAACAAGCCCTTTCGGCGGTGTAGTTATGTCGTAAGTTATTTACACAATATCTCCAGCTAAACAAATTTCTATAAAGAAACTAAATATTAGCAGAGAATTTTTTCTTATTTGCAGTTTTGCCCCGATCGCAATCTGCGCTCGCGTTATTTATTGCCACTAAATGCTTTTTT